AATGGACCAAGTCGAGGTGTATATTTGCTGGCGATCTCGTGGCATCGAAAGGATACCAAGATCGTGCCAGGATACAACCTTGGTTACAGAAGGTAACCGAATTCGCGCGAAGTTACAATCGAAGTGTAAGTAAAAGAATGGAAGCACAAAATAGCTGTCATTAGCACAGTCAAACAAAAGCACGTTAAAACAAACACTGGTACAGTTGGTTATAATAATAATTGTTTTTATTAAACCAGTCGTGTTCTCGTGATAAATGTGATTCACTACAATTTCGTTAACTTAGACTTAACATCTGAATTACTGTTCGTACGGAACACTGAGTGTTGCTGTTATTTGGTTATTATTGTTTTTAGGCGTGGCAACTACATTTCATAAGTAACTAATAAAATGTATTAATACTTATTTGTATTGGAGAGCAGTTTTTGTACAATCTCCCAGGTTATCTGCCTTGCTTTGGAATCAAAGATGGATGGCGACTATCGCTGGGATCTAGGACGCGAGTTTCGTTCTATTTAGGATTCGTCAACTGGATGTACCTGCATCCCAGATTCGATATTTACCCCAACAGTCAGACCTAGTCCCTTTCACTTAAAATTCTATAGTAATCCACTTAGCTACTGAGTTCATATCTCTGCTTCAGATGCTTGTTGCTTACTAGTAATGTCGATGCAATATGCTCAGGATTCACATATATCAAAAGAGACTGGTCAGTCGCAGTTTTATATTAATTAGAATCTATCTTGCTGTTTATATTTTAATGAAAGTTACTTTTTTCAATTGTATCACCGGCCAACAGAAGAATATTTGTCTATTTTTCTTACCATAAATTGACATTACTTTAAGTAGTTTGCTTCTAAATAAATTTAAATTTTGAATGAATCAAAACTTTCACGCAACGATTTGACGTAATTAAGTAACTAACTGATTGAATCCCTTCAATGTCAATGAATTTTCTTAAAATATTCTGTATTTTAAGATTTTATGATATTATCTCAAATTTATTCCACAATTAGACATTAACACCATTGGATGCCGGTTTAGTGGTCCACAGGTTAAGCGTTCGTGCGCAAGATCGATAGGTCCAGGGTTTGAATCTCGCGAGCGAGATCGTGGATGCGCACTACTGAGGAGTCCCATACTAGGAAGAAACAGTTGCCGGTACTTCCAGGTTTTTCATGGTTGTCTAGCTTCAATTGAATCATGAATTCAACTATAAAACTACTATTTGAAAATAGTTAAAATCATTTGATTTAGCATATTTTTGAATAAACAGTTTTACACGTATGTAATACTGTTATAACATTAACTTGATATCACTGATATAAAAAAATTTGCCTGTATATACAGGAATGTTTCAAGCCGTATTTTTTTATTCTTTTTGAATTGTTCGTTTCTAAGAGTTAACTATATTCTAACTCAAAACATATACGGAACATATGGCTCAAAATAGTTTGTAATGGCGCAGGAGCATCCCCTCTTTGTGTTCTTCACAATTCTAATCTTCTGAATTCTTCATGTCCCTTTCTTTTTTCTCTTCCCAAATTCATTTCATTGTATTATACTCCTTAAATAACATCTCCAAACACTAATTTTCCTGATTACTGCTTATACTCTTATTACCTCTACCACTACGGGATTTGAATCGACCACTGCATCTCTGTGCTAATGTGGTGTGGCAACTCGAACTGATGTACATACGTACGAAGTTCTACGTTGTTACTGACTGACTGACTGACGGAACATATTTATTCGCTCATTCTCCAAACAGTTTATAATATCTACTTTGGATACAAAGCTTAGCATCATTACTGGGATTTAGGTCTTCTCACTCGTTATAGATACTGGGATATAATTTTCATTGGTTATTTACTTCTTAAAATTTCGTATAGTGTTAGAATTACCTCATCCTAAAAGGTATTATGAAGTAATTTATGTGTATCTCTTTCAACGTACTTTTTATCTCGTTTACTAGAAACAAATTGTTTTAAAATCAACAAACATCTGATCACTGAGTGCTATGAGAAGCAGTGTTCTTAAAATATGGAGTCGATCAGGTCAACTCCATCTTCTCATTGTTCTATCGAAATTTATAAAAGAGACTAACTGCTTTAAATAATGGGCTTATGAAATGGCATAAACTGAGGTTTAGAAGAAACTGGATAAACAACTATCTGTTTAACACTTAACTACGATAAAATCACGTCAATGTCTTTAAGTGGTCAGATGTTTAACAGTGTATTTCATAAACAGGTTGCACTGCTAACTATTTGACCTACGGATTGCCATCACTTCTGAAAGCCGGTTTCTTAACGAAATAAATTAACTAATCAGTTCTTCCTTGATAGACTCAGCATTTAAGGTACTCAGGAATAAACCGGTAATTTCCATATTCTAATTGCACTCCTCCCATTTCACTTTAGTCATTCGAGCAATATATTAACCCTTACATAAATAGTGGGTCTCAAAGTCTGGTGCCTAAACCCGTTTATTATTAGGCGAGCTATGTTAGTTATCGTTTATGAATGAAGTGAATGGTTTCGAATTAGTAGGTTAAGGGGGGAAATTTGTAGAAAGGAATTTTGTAAAACAAATCAATCCGAATCTATTTTCTAGGTTTGATCAACTAATTAGTAAAAGTATATTTTATCATTTTTAATAACGGTTTTGAAATCACTGTCGTCATGTAGTATTAATAACTTTAAGAAATAATGAAATAGACATGTCATCATGTGCAGCTCTTTCTTCATTATGTAGAAGATAAGTCTAAAATTATTCTAGGCAAGAGAAATGGAAATAAAGTCCAAGCCGTTAGGTGAGAGTAAACCATGTATATGGGTTTCGCGCTGTTTGTAATTTTCCCATCTTAGAGAATATCGTTTCCCCCTCCCCGAATGACTCAGCATTAACGTCTGATGATGTAAAATGGGTGAATCGGTCTTTAATCCACCAGTTCGTATCAGTTCTCTCTAAAGTGGAAATACTCCTTACCACTGGGTGCCAAAAAACATAAAACCTTTGTTTATGGTTTCCTGCTGACCGCCTGCAAACACCGAACGTCGCAAAATAGTGTAAGCAATCTTGATTCACTTGAATTAGTAGCCACACTGAATCTTGATAAATCGAATTCGATCATAATCGGCCGCTACTCAGTGGTTAATCAATGAAAAATACAACTGTGATACATCGAGATGTATCATGACAGTAACTTTTCGAGTTGGATGTACAGTCAACAGAAGAGAACTATTAGAAGCTAACGGACTGTTACACAGTCAGTAAGGGATAATTTATATTTTCTCCCTTCTAAGTAAATTTTGTTGTGATCGAGTTTCATATTTAGGTTTTGAAGTGTTTAACAAAGTTTTATCTGTTGGTGGACTAACTAATTGCATAATGATTTTCATTCATCCGGTGTAACTAACATTTTATCAACCGATTTTCTTCCTTTTTCTACTGTTCTGAAATAGCCTATCATTTGTAATGAAGAGATATTTGGGGATTGTTAATTGGTAATCAATGAAGTGCAACCATCTATTGATGATGTGCACGTTTAAAAGGGAAATTTAGGGTTGAATAACACTATTAGATCCAATATCAATCAAATCACTTATGACTAAATTTTCTGAATGTTTACATTTTGCAACCACTTTCATGCGTTCAAGAGCTTTCTAAATGTTTGTTGATAATGCAATATTCGCCAATTCATTTGGTATTGTTTGCTTGTATCTTCCCATTGCTGTTAAGAACTTCGATTGATCAGTCTCTTGTTGGCATATGTGCATCCTGTACGGATTGCCTCGATATTGCCTTAAGTCACAAGCTTTGTAAAGAAAGACGGATAGTGGCTAACAGTGGAGTCCAGAACATCCGTTTCGTCTTATTTTGGGACTCGCCAGCTGGATGTGCCTACATCCCAGAGTTGATATTCACCCCGAGACTCGAACCCAGGTACATCTAGCTGACGAGTCCTGAACGGGACGAAACGTGCGCCCTTTATTCCACTGCTAGCCACTACTCATTTTTGCTTGTAATATTCGTCAGTTTGTAAATATATTTTATTCATTTTGTAGTGCCGTGTCATCAATATGGCAAAGCAAGTGCCGCATTCCTAAAATTGAAGAACATATGGAACTCAAAACAACTTTCAACCAATATCAAAGTCAGAGTCTTCAATATGAACGTCAAGGCAGTTCTACTGTATGGAGCTGAAACCTGGAGAACTACAACAACCACCATCAAGAAGGTACAAGTATTTATAAATAGTTTTCTACACGAAATACTCAACATCCATTGGCCGTATATTATCAGCAACAGCCTACTATGGCAGAGAACAAACCAGCTCACAACTGAAGAAGAAATTAAGAAAAGACGATGGAAATGGATAGGACATACACTACGCAAATCATCAAACTACATCACGATGCAAGCCCTAACTTGGAATCCTGAAGGTAAGCGAAAAAGAGGAAGGTCAAAGAACACATTACGTTGGGAAATAGAAGCAGATATGAAAAGGATGAATAGGAACTGGAAGGAGCTGGAAAGGATTTCCTAGGACAGGGTTGGGTGGAGAATGCTGGTGAGTGGCCTAGGCTCCTTCACGAGGAGTAACAGGCGTAAGTAAGTAATTAAGTGTTATCAATAATTGCAACCAATAAGTGATGGGTTCGAACCTTACTCTACATATTTCGATTTGAGTGAACAAAGAGTATCACCGAATCTTATGAATAACATAAATCTGGTTTAAAGCCAAACAAATCAATATATATAGTAAATAATTTAGCTTACTTACTTACTGATCATCATATACGTAAATAACCTTAAGTGCTATAACTTTTGAATAAAATATTATTATGTAATTGTTCAACTAAGCTTTTATCACTAATTTATTTATAGTAGAAGATCCATAATTTGTAGATTAATTAAAATCTTCATGTTTATTAAAAGTACATAAAAGGCAATAATTAAGAAATGAACTAAAAAAAAACAGGGGCCAAAGATCGAAAAGATTTATAAATACTAAACTATATCATTAATTCCAATGTTGCATTGCTCTATGAGTTTTTTATTATACTGATAAATTACATCATACGAATAACCTATGAATTTATTTTGTTATAATTCATAGGGTATTTATTAACGAACGAACGAACGAAAAATAAAAGTAAAGAACTCCAACAATCATTAAATAAGTGACGAATGATTTTGTTTAAAGTTTTCATTTTATTGCTACCTTTCGTTGTTTACAGTGAATCGATTACAAGGTTAGTGCTATCATAATTTATATATGAAGTTTTTCTATTGTATTTTACAGGATTCAATTACATTCATCTCTTCATTTAAACTTATCTTATCCTGTATTGAATCATCAATGGAATTTATCAATTAAACAATTCAAAAATAAATGGTTCCAAAGACTGATATCATCAAAGAATGGAATATATACTGAATATTTAGAAAATTACCAAAATGTAAGTTCATAATTAACAATCGACTTAGAATAATTTTCTTTTGGATCTCTGTCTTTTTTTGGCTTTTATCTTTCTGATATACGATTTATTACAATAAAATTTTTAGATTGAATATTATGGAGAAATTTCTATCGGGACTCCACCTCAAACATTTTATGTAATATTCGACACAGGATCACCATATTTATGGATACCATCTAAAATGTGTGATTCCAGTGATTTAGCATGTCAAGTACATCATAAGTATGATAGTTCGAAATCTTCAACTTATAAACCGAATGGTGAATTATTTTATGTCCAATACGGCACTGGAATAGCATCAGGATTTTTAAGCTCAGATTGTGTTCATGTAAGTATGTATATATTATTTATTTTATTTTAAAAAATAATAATCATCTAGATCGGTTCACTGAATATTGTAGATCAAACATTTGGTGAAGTTACTCATCAACCTGGTCAAGTATTTATAAATTTTCATTTTGATGGAATTATGGGTATGGGATTTCAACAAAGATCACAAAATTCTAATCCAACACCTATATTTTTGAATATGATTGAACAGCGATTAGTAGATAAACCTGTATTTGCAGTTTATTTAAATCTGTAAGTTAATGATAATCCAAAAGAATTGTTTATTTGGTTTGAAATTTTAAGTGATTATTTGTTTTAATATTAGTTCAGTTAGCATCCTGAAGTAAAATTTAGAATACACATTTTTATTCAACTAAATAATAGAGAGGAGTTATTTGTATATATACTAATTTTTCGTAATAAATAACCATATTTTCTTTAGTAATGTGTTTCATACTTGTACATGTTCCATTCAATCAAATGGTATACTTCATATATGAATTTATTTATTTATTTGAACACATAAATATCGGTACAAGAGGGCACCAAGTATATATGCGTCACACTATATCTGTGTGTGTGGGCTGTGATACTTCCCGGGTGCCCAAAACGAAGCAGGTGGTTTTCTTAGGGAGCCACATCCCAAGCCTTTGACCTAAAGGTCTTACCCACAAGGCAGTGGAGCATCGTGAGGAGATGCAGTCCCATGGAAGCCGGTGACCAACGATTGGTCCATACGCCATTTGTTCCTGCAGGATACTGGAGCCCATGTGCACCATTGGTTTTAAATCCGGTTAAAGCGCTGGACATTCGCTTTTCGTCCTCTCATTTTTGTAAACAACACCCCTGCCACGAGAAGGCAGTGAGTAGGACTTCCCTGGCAGAGGCTGTATACGCATGACCGTGTGAGAGCATTTCGAGGGGCAGGGAGGGCCCACCCCACTCTCAGCCATACCAGGGCATTTGGGGGCTCACATATGAATGCACTAATATGTATAGATTGATTATGTGTATACTTCAATTTTTCTTCAAAGAACTTATTTTTCGATGTACTTTGAATGATTGATTTCGTGTTTGTTGATTTTAATTTCACCAATCAGTAATGAAGATAAGACAACTAGTGGAGAAATAATGTTTGGTGGGATTGATGATAGATATTATACTGGTGATTTAACTTATTCAGACGTTGTAAGTGAAGAATATTGGATGATTAAAATAGATGGGTAAGTGATTGCTTTAAAAAATAATTCTACCTTATGAATATATCTTTTCAAATAAGCAAGCTCATTCGGAGAAATTCCGAACCTAAGATAAAAAATCCCAGTGATTTCATTAAGCATCACCCCAAGTACCCTTTCTACTGAATACAACAAAGTCCAAGGTGTGGCTACCGGAGTGCTGTGTTTTATGACTGCTACTGAAAGTACATAAAAATATAGATAAATCATTTGAGTATATTTTAATACGAATTTACAATGTTAATTTCGGATTAGATTACATATGATAGGAGAATCACCACTTTTCCTAAATCCCTAATCCTGAAACAAATCCTAACTTGATGGCACTAAAGTTTATGAACGAACGGATTAGACAGTGCCTCTTTTGTTCTTGAGCGAAATTCATCCACACATAAGGTGACAGAGGACTTATGACTGATGTCAATTTGTGATAGAAACACTGACCCTATACCCCTAATCTTTACCTTAAATCCTTAACCCTAATCAAGGACAATATTGAGACTCATAAAAATCTATTTGGGTCTTGGTAATTATTTGAAAAAACCGATAATCTATGTCCATAAGAACGAATTTATGTTTTTTTTCGATTTATAAATATGTAAAATTTATGTAGTTTGTAATATGATCATTTTCATTACGAAAAACTATTCATTTACAAAGACTGTTTTCTGATTGGTTAAGAAATGACTGATAATTTGTGACAGTTATTTTAAGCTCGTCCCTATATTATGCTCTTGACAATAAGACCTAGTCAGTCCCAAAGAACATTTTTGCTCAAAAGATTGACTGGATAGATCAGTGAAAATTGAAACAACGAAAATGTTTTTCTTGGGTGACTATAATTTATGTACGAACCAATCAGATTTACGATAGTGAGTTTTGGGTTTTGGCGCGAAATTCATTCATCCATATGGCTAAATAGTATTTTGGAATTATAACTGATGTCAGTTTGTGGTGAACACCCTAACTTTAACCATTTTTAGACTCGACTAGGTTGCTGAATTTTCGAGAGGTCACTCTGGTGTCACTCAAAAGTTGTCCACAAACTATAGTCTCACCGCTTTTATTTTAGTAATGTACTGGAAAACAGGTCATAAATTAGAACTTTAAAAGAGCAAAGAATCAAAAAGGGAAAGCATTTTTGGTTAATGACATTTCTTATGAGTAATTCATTATGCAAAAAAACAGTGATTAAAACTTAAAAAAGCATCTTCTACACATTTAAATCTATTAATCATGGAAATCTTTTATTAAATGCTAAGATTTTTTTCACTTTATCTTGAAAATGTTGAAAGTATATCAATCAACGATAAAATATTTTGTCCAAGTGGAAGTACCGCACTAATCGATACGGGTACAGCTTTAATATCAGGTCCAACTGAAAAAATTAATAATATAAATAAATATCTTGGAAGTATACAAGTATCTAATAATGAATACATTGTGGATTGTAATAAAATTCACAAGTTACCAATAATCGAAATAAAGATTAATGGCAAACCTATTCAATTGAAAGCAGATGACTACATTGTTGAGGTGAGAAAACATTACTTGTAGTAATGGTGTGTAATTGTTTTAAAGTTGGTTGACAAATGTAATTCATATAACAGGCATTTCAGATGCAACTCTTAAAGACCAGTTCAATCTAATAACAACCCAAGTCTTGCATGGATTACCAAAATATTCAATCTGTTGTTTACAATAATAATCACAAATTTTTTATTAATTGTTTCAATATGTAGTAGTTACTTTACTTATTGATCAGGTTTTATAGCTGATCAAGTAATTAAGTAGGGTATTGCATTTATAACATGTAAGGTAGTTTTTTTTTCACTTAGAAAACTAATAGTAGAACACAAGATTCAACAGCAATCCTAAGTTTTTGTCAGTAATCTCATTTGTGGGACGTGGTGCATACGACTTTGACTTTATTCAACATGGACATACATTTAAACAATCCCATTTTGACGAGAAGAAAATTAATTACAGGTACACTGAAAAAAATATTTTGAATTTTACTGTGAATAATTTAAATAATCAAACAATTAGTTCTGTATTCTACTACTTCTAAATGGTAGTATATTTACGTTAGGGCATGTGTTCCATAATAATCTCACTAACATCATCCAATCTCTTGTATTATATTGATGTTTTATATTTTCCATTTGTCTGACAAAGTATTGATCTTAATTTTCGAGTACTCGGTAGATTTTTCTTAGGCTTAAATATATGTTATTAGAGAACAGACTATATAGCCATGTGATTAGATGTTAAGTTGGCAAAACAATCAATAAAAATGACTTGAGAACACTAATGCCAAAGTTCTAGTGTGACGCTATTTTATTCATTAAGTTGATTTATAGATCATGATACGAATTTAATAAGTTTGGTTCCTGTAATCGTTTATGGTTAACAAGTAATCTAGCTTAGGAAAAATAACATCAAAACTATCTTACTGAGTTAGAAATCCTTATTCTATAGGTTCATTGAAGCTTTTGAGTCAGGAGAAATTTTACTGCATGATCACCAATCACTGAACAACATTCAACACTATGTTGAGCAATTCTCTTTCAGTCAGTCAGCTACAACGTAGGACCAGGCACATATATCCATCGGTCCAAGTTGCCATACCTCATTAACACAACAAGATGGACACCGGATTCATATAAGTAGTTACTTCAGAGGTGATAATATATAAAAGAAAGATTGCAATAAGGATATAGTACAGTAAGAAGGAAAGATATGAAGTCATTTTAATCTCTTAGTTTAAGGGAAGACAGAGAGTGTATACACCGACGCCATTGTGATCGATTCTGAGCCATGTCACCAACCATTGGTTACGATAGTCACGCGGACCCCAACCAAGTAGTCTGCATCTACCAACATGGCTCAGACTAGAAGTTAGTGACTTCAAGCACTGATGCCACGTTTTGGTTTGGCCGCCCCTAACTTTCTTCCAACCATCCAATACCGGATAGCATTGCACGTCGTGGTAATCGGTGTTCAGGCATACGTAACACGTGGCCCAACCATCTCAGTCGATGAAGATTCATAACCTCATCAACTGATTTACCATCATTCCCTAATACCCTGCGTCTAACCTCACTATTACTTACCCGGTGATCCCAGCAGACACCAGCAATATTTCTAAGGCATCTGTGGTCAAATACTAGTAGCTTACGAGTGTCTTCTACTCTTAATGGCCATGTTTCGCTGCCGTAAATTAAAACAGAACGGACTGCCGCGCAGTATACTCGTCCTTTTATTGATAGACGGATATCTCGCCTTCGCCAAAGGTGACGTAAGTTGGCAAAAGCCAAACGAGCTTTTCGAATCCGTGCTGAGATTTCGTCAGACACCAACCCATTAGGGCTGATCAGACTTCCAAGATAAGTGAAGTTGTCAACGCGTTCGACTACTTCACTCCCTATCCTTAGTTCAGGTGTTGACGCAGACCAGTCCTGAAGCAACAACTTGCATTTAGAGGGAGAGAAGCGCATTCCAAACATTCTGGCATTGTTGCTTAGTGCTACCAGAAGACTCTGCATTTTGTCAGCGTCTTCACCAAACAGGACTATGTCATCTGCGTATTCTAAGTCGATAAGTGGACCTCCTGGATGGAGATCAATACCCGAGAATTCAGTCGACGAGAAAGTTATTTCCATCAGTAGATCTATGATGAAGTTAAACAAAAATGGGGAAAGTGGACAGCCTTGACGGACACCACTTGAGGTTGCAAAAGTAGATGACAGTTCGCCATAAGCTCTGACTCGACTAGTAGTGTTCGAGTAAAGAGCCTTCACAAGGTTTATGTACTTCTGAGGTACCTTTCAATGACAGACACTGCCACAGAATCTCGCGGTCTACAGAGTCAAATGCTGCTTTTAAGTCAAGAAAGACCACCATTGTCGGACGCCGATAAGTATGCCTGTGTTCTAGAATCTGACGAATGGTGAATATGTGGTCGATGCAGCCACGACCAGGTCTAAAGCCAGCTTGGTTCTCTCGTGTTTGCAGTTCACGAGTCTTAGTTAGGCGTCTGATAATTATCGAGGCTAGTATTTTAGATATTATATTAGTTAAACTAATCCCTCTGTGGTTGTCACAGGATGATTTTGACCCTTTCTTATATATTGGGACGATAAGTGATTGCGACCAGTCAGATGGGATAACGTCTAACTCCCAGATCTTAGCTAAAATATTAGTCAACCTAATCGCTAAAATTGGACCACCATCCTTAAAGACCTCTGGAGCCAATCCATCTGGACCAGCTGCCCTTCCTCGTTTCAGATTAACTATAGCCTTTTGAACTTCAGCAAGAGTTGGGGGACCTACTTCAATGTTCCATTCACATTGTCTGGGAATGGAGGGTAGTTGTAGAGTAGCTGAAGGCCAGCTGAACTGTTCTCTGAAATGTTCCGCCCATCGTTCTAAACGTCTGGACTGGGAGCAGATGAGGGTATCGTCTTTTTCCGAAATAATCTCACTTACACTTGACTTATTAATTCCAGTTTCTTTTATTAGTCTGTAAAGCTGTCTTGTGTTCCCTATAGTCGCCGCCTTTTCCATCTCTTTTGCTTTCGTTGCCCACCACTGCTCACGGTCGTTTCTTAGACTTTTTCTTAACCTAGATCTGATTTGTTGTCGCTCTTCATCATGTTCGGAACCTGATGGGACGAGTTTGCGAGAATCCATCAGTGTGATAGACTTTGAAGAAATCCACTGGTTCTTTGTAACTCTGTGGTTTAAGTCACTAATAGATGTCACTGCTGTTTCCACAGCTGATTGTATGCCCTTCCAAGCAACATCTGGGTCAGCCTCGTCTTCGAACTACCTAAGTGTGACCTCAGTTGTTCCTGGAACCTACTTTTGGTTTTCTCGCTACTCAACTCAGTTCTAATGGGTCTTTTTAATGTGGCTTTTTTGCGTCCAGTGAGGCGCAAGCAGATGCGTGCCCGTATTAGGGCATGGTCGGAGTCCAAGCAGGTACTCCAGAATGAGCGACAATCTTCTACCGACCCTCTCCAACGATGACTGATGGCAATATGGTCTATTTGAGTCCATCGTTGGTTTGGTGTAGGGGGTCGCCATGTTAGACGATGTCTCTCCTTATGCTTAAAATTTGTGTTTGCTAAAAATAAACGATTGTCTGAGCACAGTTGCAGCAGACGATCACCATTATCTGTTCGCTGTGTCGGAATACTAAAATATCCACCTAAATGCCTTTCTGTTTGGTTTAAACTACCTATCTGAGCATTAAAGTCACCTGCTACGAGTACTATGTCTGAGCGTTTAGCTTTCTGAAGAAGTTCGGACAGCTTTCTGTAAAATTCATCTTTCACTTCATCTGAGCTGCAGTCAGTGGGAGCGTAGGCAGAAACGACAAAAAGGCAACGACGTGTGTCCCTATCCTTCCGAGTTCTTACGTAGCCGTTTAGCCGAACAGCACATAGACGACTGTTGACGGGGATCCACTCTAGCAGTGCTTGTTCGGCCCTCATGCTTAGTGCTATGCCTACACCTGCCAGTCCACGAGAACTGGCCATCGGGTCACCAGATACACGAAGGGTGTATCTCGTTGGCTCTCCGTTTTGCCGAGGTGAGGTCAAGTGAATGACCACACTGGAATCCTGTATGCGTGTTTCGGAGACACAGCATACATCAATGGAAAGAGACTCTAGGGTTTTAGCCAAGGAAGCCTGCTGACCGATTTGACATAGGGTGCGTACGTTGAAGGCTCCAATGTGTAGTTTGGAGCGAGGTTTCAGTAGACCTGGGACAGTGTTTTGAGCGCTAGAATCGTTGGCTATGGTGACACTTGAGGAGAAGCCGAAGAGGAAGTTTAGAGTTGAAAGTCGATGTAGGAGGAATAATAGGAATTGAAGAGGAGGTTGATTATGAATACAGTGGTCTTGAGTGCTGTTAGAGGTATGAGGGCGGTTATCACTTCCCGGTTGCCCACACCGTGGAAGGGTTCTTCTGGAGGTACCTGAAAAGGAAATTGGATTAGAGGTGGTCTTAGTGACCTGAGAGCGTGACCGCAGTGCCCAAGGGACAACTGCTTGAGGTCGGTCACACACGAACTTTTTATGGGTAATTTTTGTGTTAGCTCCGTACTTATTGAGACCTTACCGCCGGAGACGGATATCCGTGGGATAAGGCGAGGTGTGCATTTTTAGGGTCGACCTTTTCTAACCCCACCCCTCCTTGTGGGAAGGCAGCATCGCTGTCATGCTGGTTGTCTGAAGGAAACACCTTACTGCTGTCACACCTCTGTACAGTCAGCAGTACGACTTCGCCTTCGGACCTTGGGTTTGTTGCTTTTAGTCTTACCGCTCTTCAGCCGACCTATCTGACATGGTAGGACCTTGAGGAACGGTTGTTCCAGCCAGTATAGCTCGGTTGCTTCATCACGATAGGCAAGCCCGACCACCACGTCTAGGTAGCAACAACGGTCGGGTACCCGCAACCTCTGAAATAGAAGTCAACGACTTTTATTTATTAATTTATCACTATAACTACTAAGCTAAGTAAGACATAATTACTAAACACTGTAGTTAGTCGTAAAAATGTAATGGATTTCCAATTTATATTGCTTGGCACCCACTGTTTAAGGATCTCTGCAAACCTTAATGAAACCGATACTCACCTAGAGATCCTGATCCAAGTTGCCAACATCTGTAGTCAGAAAAGTTACCACTAGATTTTACAAGTTTTCTTTATTCTTTGAATCATCTCTATTAATAAAATTGTAATCTCTATGATCTCCAAGTACGTTTATCCATTTCAACATTTATATTTGACATATCTTATAAAAAATTACTCCTGTCTATGCTTTACATCATATGTTGCTCACTAAGTTATTTGACATTTGTATATCTAAAATCATACGGATGAACTTAGTATTTACTAATGGCTGAAAGTTATGCCTGTTTATTTGTATGTTTTCTGTAAATCTTCCAGGTTCTATTCTGTTCACAAATACAGGTCTTAAGTTGAGAAAGTTCATTGCGATAAACTCTATTTACACAGATAAGTCGAACATCACGAATCTACAACTTCATACTTGTTGCCATCTGTCAGTGTAAGCACTCGTAAATTTCTTACTCTTGTAGTTCATCTGTGCATTGTGTAACAGAGCATACCAATAGTGATTCGTTGGGAAGCTTCATCGAGCTTTTTTCTGTTTTTGGTTTGCGAAAACTATACTTTTTAGATAAACGATACTCACTTAGTCGCTTGTCTTTGGAGTTTTTCTAATTTAGAAGATCCTCTGAGTGAAAACTCAATTTGAAATGGAATCATTCAATCACCAGATATTAATTAATTCATAAATAATAAATATAAACTTAACAAATACAAAGAGTGCATGACATCCACTAAAATATTTGTGGCTTATATTATATGAGTTGAGGTGTTTACTTTATAGAAGTTTAAAACAATTTTCAGTTGATTAGCTAACACTTCAGTAGCAATGAAACTTTAAAAAAATTGATCAAAAATTATTTATAAATGGTAAATGTTTCAAGCTAGTTAACTGTTTGATGTGGACTACATAACTGGTAAATAGAAATTACTATAAAATCAATCATAAAAATCAATCCATATAAAAGTTTTGAGTAAAACTAACAGTATTTCCTTGTTATATCTTATTATTACTAGAAAGTTTCAAACGGTTCACGAATTTGCAGGACTTGCTTCATTGGTACTGACTTCCCAAGTGGCCCGTTATGGGTATTTGGGGATGTACTTTTAAGAAAAGTTTATACAGTATTTGATGTTGGTCAACGGCGAATAGGAATTGCCGATGTCGCAGAAGAGGTTAAATCCTCGTGAACAAAAATAATATTTGTGGGATAGTCAATAACTCTCTTTCCGGTTTCTGAAGTAATATCGCTGAACTGAATTATCTAGTTAACAATATATGAAACGATAAAAAAACATCTTTTTTATTTTAAGTGATTTTGCGATTACCGTTTCTATTTTACTTATACTGCATTGTTGTTTGCTTTTTCGTTTTCTCAGTTGTATAAATAAGCAAAAAAACATATTGGAAACTTTCTAATTACTATTAAGCGGTAGCAGTTAAGACTGCCGAAGTGAACATTTACAAATGTTTACTAGTTTACATCAAACTCATCAGTCCTAGATAACTGTTGAACCGTCATATGGTGAAATATCTAGTGTTGTAGTCGTTAAAATGAGAAATTACACAAAATATTAGCGATAGTACAATAATACACTGAAATAGTCGGAATTGTCTGATGTTTCATTCACGGAAATCAACAAGAGGGTATCTATTCAATGTTGTATATTAAAATAGGTACTTTGGTAGAAATATTAAATTATGTCTCCTGAAATTTATAACGAATGTTCCAGATATAAAAAAATGTGATAAAAGGACTAGATATGACGTTCTATGTACAGGGAATTATCAGTGTAATTAGATCTTATGGTCTGTTAGGATATATGCTTAGTCATAAGTACAGGCCACTCACCAGCATTCTCCATCCAACTCTATCCTGAACAATCCTTGCCAGTTCTTTCAAGTTGCTACTCATCCTTTTCATGTCTGCTTCCAATTTTCAACGTATTGTGTTCTACAGATTTCCTCTTTTACGTTTCTCTTCAGCTCTCTAAGTTAGCGCTTGCCTTGTGATGCAGGCTGGTGATTTCTGTAATGTATGTTCTATCCACTTCCAACGTCACTTCCTAATTTCATCGTCAGCTAGAAACTGGTTTGTTCTCTGCCATTGTTTGTTGTTGTTGATGATATCCGGTCAACAGATACCGAGTGCCTTGTGTAGACAATTGTTCTTAAATACTTGTACTTAATATGATGGTTGTAGTGGTTCTCCACATATGTAGGGAGCGATTTCCTACAGATTCAACTCTAAGCTAATCTCTAGACTGTCGAGTACAGAGCCTTGGTTTAGCCAACGTCAGAACAAGCAAGCTATTTGGCTAGATAAACTTTATCTGTTTCTAAAACATAAATTAACATCGTTAGTGTACAAACAAACAGTACGGTCTATTAATACAGGGAAAAACAGAGACAAATAACATACCGAACAGTAGCCAGAGAATAGGAAAAATGAGTCAACAAGCCAGTATTGTTTTACAATGTACATTAAACCGTGATCGGTTAATAAAGAGATACAGTCGTACAAGGTCAAAAGGAGTTGATGTGGTGGTGGGCGTTTACCTTATTATTGGTGGGTTCGTCTATCGATCACATTTTACACTCCCCCGAAACGCGCATCACGTCCGTTGTCCAGGGTCGTGGTCGCCGTCAGACAGCCGGCTCCTTCTAGTAGACATAAGCGTCGTACGTCCCGAACAGTTTCTTCGTTTGCGGTTCTCAATTTTGCCGTACGAACTTGTCCGTCAGAGCCATAGCTTACTTGTTCGACAATAGCTTTGGACCATAGACTTCTCAGTGAGCCAACATTGTTTAATAACACTAAGTTTCTCGAAGACTCATCCATCAATACCTTCTGAAACAATAGAGATCGCAGAATTCTTCTTATCGACTTTATGATGCGTCCCCATACACCGTCTCGTTACTAGACCTCGAAAGTTTAAAGCGCCATTCACAACCTCTCTCTAAAAGGGCATTTACTGTCTTATTCTGATTCCAACTACACATGATCTGTCTAAGAATAGCATTGGATCCTATAGAACTACCAGATGCACCCTTACTCTTGTTCACAACTCGTACAAGGGCGTCTTTCTCAACACCATCCTCGATACCACGGCGAATATGTGCTACCTGCTTCTTCAGGGTATTAGTTACTGGCTTCTTCGTTACAGTGGTCTTCGGCTTTTTCGTAGTCTTCACTTTCAGTTTGATGTCCTTCTTTTCCTTGAGCTTTCTTAGAGTTGATTTGGATTTATTAGCAGATGATGCTTCAGTTTTTGGCTTAACAACCTTATACTTAGTTAATAAAAACGAACAATGAACTTGACGAGAGACATCTTCGGAACGAGTATACTCCGCAACACCATATGCAGATTCTGATAATGCTATACGATCTTCCACAGACATCGATGAATTACGACTAAGTAGGTCTTTGAATTCAGTTGAATACGATTGTTCAAACTTATCCTCTATTTCCTCTTTAGCTGAGAGGTGATTGAGTACACGATTGCTTTTACAGGGTTCCCCATAGGAACCGAACAGCGTCCAACCTAACAGAGTCTTCACGGCGAATGGTTCATTCGGCTTTCCAGTTCTTACCTCTTTCATTTCGTGTACACTCGGTGCGTTGCACCCGATCAACAGTTCGACATTCTCACCCTCTACTCTAGGAAAACTTATGTCTTTTAGATGCGTCCAGGATTTCATTTGAACGTCGTTGGTACCGTCCTGCGCAACATAGGTAATCTCTCGACTGTCCATACGTTTGGGATTCTAAATGACGAAGACGAGTCTAAGGAGGAAACCTCTAGTTGAACCTCTTTACACTGAATCGTGGAATGCTTATCCGACGTTTTCAACGAAATCGTCTTAGGCTCTCCTTCTAAATTCAACCTTTTAGCTAGATCTTCTGTAATAAGAGAGGCATCCGACCCACTATCTAAGAAGGCGCAAGTCTGTGCTACCTTTTCTCCATTTCTTACCAGTACAGGCACTATTGCTAATGCTGCTTGTTTCTGTACACGCTCAACACTTTTCTCCGTACATAGCTGGGTGTTAATGTGTGCATCAATATTAGAATTCCTTGGTTCTTCCCGCAACTCGTGTAACAGGGTATGGTGTCTCCAGCCACACCCTTCGACAGCACACGACCTCGGCGATCGACAGTTTTTTTGCTACGTGGTTTGCCTTCAGGCATACATTACACAACTTGTGTCTAAGAACGAATTCCTTCCTTTCTCTAACATTCTTGTCTTTAAATTTCTGACAATGATCTAAAGAATGATTACTGGAGCACTCCTAAAAATCGACACAAGCTATCGCCATAGTTTGTAGAAAGATTTTCGTATGCATGATGTGTAGAGACTTACTTTTATGAAAAGAATGCGATTGGTATAATGGAAACAGTTATTATTATAACCAATTTTACCAGTAATTGTTTTACTGTACCTGTTTGTTTAAGTGTACTAAAAACACATATCCTTCCGTTGACTGTGATTTTGCACATATTCGCGTACGCTTAATAGTCCACCTGTAAATTTTGGCACGATCTCGGTAGTATTTCAATACCACGAGATTGCCAACAAATATATCTTATTACAACCATCAACTGCTTCCGGTTTTTGGCCTACGGAGGGATCCGACCTAATAACTGGCAAGTAATCTTCCTGTAGTGGTGATCATAGTCGATCGTGACTCGACGCCACAATACAGATGTATGCAATCTTTCTCTTCTGACCGGGACAACTAACTTCATACACTTACCACACACCATTTTTACTGTCTGAAGGGTAACTATTGGAAACTACAAGAGTCAGGGGGGCATTTATGACAGAGACTGATCTATTTATAGAAAACGAGTTGAAATTGATTGGGCATTTCACTCAAAGGAATACCGCAAACAGAAAACCCTCTAGTTCAAAACCTAACGTATTTTCAAATTCAACACTACAGTTTATTTTATAAATTATGTCATTTATTGACTTTCTCGCATCTGTCTCTCTAGGAGACCTGCGTATGACTTTGCTCACTCTTCTCATAGCATTCCGCAGCACCCAAGAGAGATACTCCTCTCGGTTTGGATATGGTCTGTTCTGCTGCACTGAGGGAAGCAGCTTCAATCCTAGCAATACCGCTTATCTTGCAGTTCTCACATTTACTAAGCCGAGGAACATTACCGGAAATTTGGAAGCTGGCTCAGTTCACACCAATTTTCAAAGTAGGTTGACACAGCGAGCCTTCAAGCTACTGACGGTGGTGCTTCTCTCTATACCCTCATAAATTATGGTGTCCCTCGTATGCGATGGTCTGCACGATTATACCTAGACCAAAATGGACCTCAAGTTCAGTTTGCCTTATTTTTCCTACTAAGCAGCTGTATCAGTTACATTTTCCACTCTATTTCTTCACTTGAAGTAGACAGGTAACTCACTGGACCAATCGATACTGTTCAAGTAAACTCGATTGCTAAGAGACACTCACTACCACCCTAAAAAGTCAAGCGAACCGCACAATCGACTGCCAACTGCTAGTGGTCTCGCATCTGTGAAGCCTGTTACCCATGTGAGCTTCTTCCTGTTTATTCTTTACCAGCTTTTTACTCTTCTGTACATTATATTGACTAACAATTAATATTATTTCTCCACTCGTTACCTTATCTACAACTCATATACTTCTATACTTTTCTGCCTGATTTAATAAACAACTATTCTACATTATACCCTTCTCAATGCTTATACTCTGATTGGCAAACTATACTTTATACTATAGTCAATTAAATCACTGCATCGATGCCTTATCCACAGTCCATAACTTGTAACTGCCTGATAAGCCTGTAAAATCGTACTTATAGAAATAGTGTTTTCCAACAAGTTGTGGAACATAGAGGATTGTGTGAGGTATGACATATATCATCAAATAG